CCATATAGCTCAACCATTAGTACTTTCATATAACCGTAGTATGGGAACATCTGCATCCTTGACCATCGAAAATCTTCACACATCAATAATCTTCACGCAATATTTCTCGTGGAATATACATGTACTTCATAGAATAATGTTCTTTCACATAATGGAGGCGTATACTCTGAATCCTTCGCATAACATACTACATGGACATCAATACCCTTCCTAGAACAGTATTATACGTACCTCCCGGCGCTGCACCACACTTAGAAATGCACCTGACTATTCTACAGAGAAGGGTACCCCAAGCGGGCTTGTGCTCTTGATGTAACGGAACGATAGGCAGGTCAGTACTCTGCACAGATGAGTATTACTGAGACGTCCATAGCCTCTCTGCAATAACACTCCAAGAAATTTCTTACGGTTGACACGAGTCTGCTCTCTAATTAACAAGGTTATCTAGGTAACACTGGTATTAACCTAATAATACTGCATCAACATCATCACTTCTGAAGCGATAATACACCAGGGATAAAGGTACCCTTTCACAAATGGGTATATTATTCCTGTTTCGTAATGGTACAACATCGGTATGGTTATGAAATTTACATTTCAGATATGTGAGCATCCTCATAAAGAGTTCACAGAAGGAAATATGCTCATAACGATTCCAAATAGGGAAATAAAAAAATACGTCAATCATGATATTCGGGAAGAAGAATCCTAATAAACAACAACCACGTACAATACAACATATCAACAGGGATGTAGTAAAAAGGGCACTTTCACAAGGAGGAAGCTGAAGAATCCGTTCATAATGATTCTACAGGAAGAGATATTTTCACAATAATCGAGGCAAAAGAATATCTTCAAAATGATACGGCGAAGGAACCTCCTGAAGATACCAGGAAAAGGAAGCATCTTCATAAACAAGATAAAGAGCAGGACGTCCTCTAAACCCTGTCGCAGAAGAGGAACAGCTTCATAGGGAAAATCACACACGAAAGCAAGCCTTAACAGTAGAACAAAGAGCAAGAATCATCCTAGAGAAAATAACACACACAAGCACATCTTCACGATGCCACAGGAAGAAAGAAATAATAAAGTAAGTCGGAGGGGAACAAACACCACCTGGAGAAGCAGACTTGGGAATGATGCTTGTGAGGGGCTGCTTAAAGTCTAAACTGTAAATCCGGAGCGAACAGCATTAAATGGTTAACCGTAAAGAATAGACTTTAGAGACTGAGAACAAAACCAGAGACAGAAAGGATAAGCATTTAACCATAAGGCTTTCACAATAAATCATACAACACGAAAACTCGACGTTGGAAACCAATTAATACAAAACATATCAGAACCATAAGGAATAGAGAAAAAGAAATAGAGCTTGACTCCCAAGCTTCATACCTGTAGAGACTAAACATGATGCCTGACGTAGAAAACTTCGGGGAGATACCCTGAAGGATAATAGGACCAAATACACCAGACCACCGTGCGAAATCAACCATAGGACATAGCCCCTGAGCGATGCATAATAAACAAACCGTATAGACCGAAAAGCTAGGGCATGCAAGAACCACCCTACACTTCATCAGATACAGATAGACATTAAGGGTATTCGATCAGTCCTACACACTAAAACTGAATCCGCAACCATGAAATCTGAGCCTTACACCGTCCAGATATTGCACAGGATCCTAAGGCTAAGGAGATAAGGAATAAAAAAAGGCAGCAGAAATAAGGAGGCATATGTAAGGAATTAACTGTAGGAATAAAAACTAGAGGGTGGCAGTACACGCTAATCAAGAGGCCTCACTGATAAGCCGTGGAGGCCGAGTCATGGAATATACAGCCTAGGGTCCAAAAAATACAACCCAAACACTAAACCGTAAATCCTAGACAGCTAAGGATGATCACAGTACAAAGGGCGTATAATCAGTGAATCTTACCCGCCTAAAATAACTTATCGAGCAGTACTAATAGAAGCTAAGGGGTAAAGAAACCCCCCCGGCCATACACAGGAACCTGGAGGCGTAAACATAGAGGATAAAGCCTAGCAAATACACTCAAGAGTCGAACCGGAGGGATAAAAAATAAAGCATTAATGCTAAATATTAAAGAATACAGAGTGTACAATAAAAGTTGAGACAACACCAAACCTCCATAAGCCGACAGCACAATGCCTGAGTAAAACCCAAATGAGATAGGTGCTTACACCCTGCAAATTAACTGCGTACAATTGATGGCAAGAAACCGAGGAATAAAGGAATGACAGATAGGAAGGAATATACTCTTTAACAGAACTCCATGAGGTAGGAGCCCTCAGAATTAGAGAAACCTAAGCACAACAGCAGGGTGAGAGACGGAGAGCAGGCCTAAGCAATAATGGGAGCAACATAGAGCCTCAAACAGAAGGCCAATAGCACAGCTTAAGCAGTACGAGATAGAAACCATATAATAAGGGGGGGCAGGGACTGACAACCTACTTCTGCGATAAACATTTCCAATCTCTATCCCTAAGGATTGGATGTGCCCCACAGTGCATGTAGCATGAAACTTACTTCATCATCACTGAGCTATAAGCCATAACTGAGGCCCCATAGAGGTTAACACCCCGGAATTGACACAGGAAGAAAAAGGCTAACACTCCAAGGCATAAATCCAAAATCGAAAGCTTAATCATTCTGGGCTAAGAGATACAGGCTAAAGAATGAAACCTAAGAAGTTAACAATACTTGCGGGGGCAATAACGAGGAACTATACACACCGAAGCATGAGCAGTCAAGTCCTAAAGAATAGACTCTGAACTTAACGCGATAGTCTTGCACCATAGACATGAAGCAGAAATGTGCACATCGAACGTCAAACCTGGAGGCGAACCCCTAAGAGATGGAGTTGTAATAGAAAAAGGGAGTCTCGAAATAATACACCTTAGACCAAACAGCATGAACAACAGGAGAAGAGAAATTATAAGTTGCATCTAACAGGTAGAGAAGGGGAAAGGAACCCTCAACAGCTAACAATAAAGAATACAGGATAATGCAGGTGCAACCAAAAATACCAGCAGAGTCGGGGGCCTAAAGCTACGGATACCACCTAAAACCTAAACCTAAACTCAGAATGTATAAGGAGAAACCATATAGACTACAAGGAACCAACCCCCCTAACCCTCAGTCCCCCAACCTATAAAATACAGGTGCTTCTTTAAAACCAGGAAACCACAGGCCTAAAGACTAATCATCCATTCTTGGGAACAAAATCTAAATGGACCAAACAGATTCCTCGCCATTAAGTCATACAATATAAAATCGAGGGCTAAGGGACGACACCACCAAATTACCCCCAACCCATGAAACGAGGAGAAAAGATGGATCATCACCCTGAAACCAGGAAATCAGCCCAGGGAAAATCGTCCATAGTAGCCAAGTTACAAAGGGATGCATAATAAGATGCACTACCTACAACTCCAACTATGAACCCAGACAGCTGGCCTTAAAGAGAGAGTACTAAACCAAAAATCCAGGGGCATAGCATCCTGGCATGTTATCCGTATTACCAGTAAGTGATACACTTTTATAGTACCACTATGTGGAAATATAGGCAACTAGAAACTAGCAACTGTAGTAGCAACCCTTGAAGAATACACAATGAGACCTCTGGGCTAAACCTTGAGGGGTAATAGCTAAATATTAAACGGCAAACACTACCCCTTGAGCATTACACCCTACATCCCAGAACTATAACATATGCGAATCCCAGAATACGAAGGAAAGGCCTGCCTGCTAAGAACAACGCCGATAACGTAAACCTTAAGGTATAAATCCAAAAGGCTGACCCTAATAGCCTAATACCATTGCACAGCACCTATCGCCGAAACCTAAGCGAAAGAGACTACCCCTTAAATTTTAGGGTATCCAGGCAGGGGAAAAGATATATCACCTAAGTCGTAGAATCTGAATCCACTGGAAGGATCCCCCAAGCAGCAGCCTAATAGGAACCCCCCAGAATACCTGAGATGTGAAGCGTAAAGCATTATCTCCAAAAGTGCCAATAGGTCAAAAAAGAAGCCGAAAAACTTTAGGCCCCAGGCAGTATCCCTGAACCGACAACGAGAAAGACAATAACGAAACTTAAAAAATGAAGCGAAATGCCGAGATAGACTGAAGCCGTTGCCATAGAAATCACCGTAGAAATATGATGATTAAACATCAAACAATGAAGCCTATGCATTAGCCCTCGAATCCTAAGCCCCTAAACTATATCTTGCCCCCGCAGAAGTCTGCGCCATGCGGACGAGCCTCTACCTCCTGGAACCTGAAGCCTGAACCCGAATTCACAGACCTATACAGCTGAGGTCAACCCCATCAAGCATAAAATTACAGAGCTAAACGCTGAAGCATAGACGATAAATACTCAATCCTAGAACCTATAATCTAAGCTCTGAAACCTGGATCCTAACAGATTCCCCACAGGAAACGTGAAAACCGGAGAGAAAAAATAAACCCTGAATCACAAACCGTGAACCACCGGCCTTAAACCTGGCGCATAAAGTTAAATAAAGCACCAAATATCTAACCCCTGAAGCCAGACCCCTGAAGCATGCACACTAAACAGACACGTGAATCCTACAGCCGAAACCCTGAAAACTAAAATATAAATCCTGGACTGTGCACCTACGAAATAAGGCCTATGTATATACCGTAATACCTAGTGGATAATCCCTGAAAAATACCCTGAACCCTGAACCCTGGTGTGCCAGATAAAGTCCTAGACCCTTGGGTGCTCCAAGTTGCGGCGACCATTGGGTGTCTCCCTCTTGCCACTTAGACTCAAGCATAAACCTAGTTAAATCCTACCTCCCCCCCCTTCAGTCATTTCTTTTGACCAATCCCCATAAAATCCTAAGGCAAAGGCAGTTAGCGCAGCAGTATTCACCCCCTTTGACCACTCTTCTGCTTCCCCATCCTCCTCAAGCCTCAGAGATTATCCTAGCCGCTTCTGTTGGTGATGGTTCCTCATTTCCTATTGTGCATTGACTTACCAGTTGTTCTCACTGAGAACTCCACAGCCGCTACTCTATGTCCCTGGTTCACCTTCGAACCCCCTTCGATGTCACTTCTCTTCCCCATAGTGGTCGTCCCTTGCTCTATTGCATTCTGGTATTCAAGGGGCATGTTCCCTGCTGTTCCAAGTTGTTGAACACACTCTCTCCCTTTATTATTATTCATCATTTGATTACCCCTGCCTGTTTGATAGAGAATATGCTAATACCTGTCCGGGAGGCTTTGGAATAATCCGAGTTCCCTTAGCCCTTCTTCTGCGTCCCAATATTCTATATAACCCATACGCTCCCAAAATACCCATTAGGCCACTTATAACTCCCCCTACTATAGGTCCCTCGTAGGATACTTGTTGTGGATTCTGTCCCCCGTTTGACTCACTCAGGCGTTGTCCCTGAAGGAAATGAATAACAGTTATTTCATCTTTTTTGAGTTGTTTAACCGAAGTCTTAATGAATAATTCCATCTTATTCTCTTCCAGGAGTAAATATCTGCCTTGGTCCTTTACCTTCACTTGGGTGCTCACTTGTGTTAGTAGCTGGTCCATTTTGGTTACGGGGGGCTCCTGAGGCACTGAGGGTCCTTCAAGAATATCTCTTTGGGTATCTCCTGAGGTTCCTGTTTTATACTCCGGTATAATCTTCTCCTCCAGGCCCGGTGTCTCCTCTGATATATCACACGTTAGTGACTTGTCCCCACTGGATATTCCTAAGACTCCTTCTGTTATTATTTCATAAACATCGCGACCAGGAAGCTGAAATGTTCTTTTTCTGTTCTTTCCGGAGTCTCCGTATGAGAACCAGTCGCTCATTATAGCCTGTGCCATCTCCTCTCCACCCCAGTTTTTCAGATTCTGATATATGCTTTGACATAGTCCAGAGTCGGTACTCCCCTTATAAGTTCTCCTTGAGACAGTTGAAGTTAGCCCAGCGGTCATCATTATCAGTGTGATAAGCTCCATACACATCTTTAAACTCCTCTGATAATCCTGACCCATACTCAGGGTGCTCCCCGTTCTGTGATCTATCCAGGACAATTTTTTCCTTTCAAAGAGACAAGCAGCCGAACTTTGGTTCTTGGAGCTGCCCCCTATAAATTGATCATAGCTACACTGCCCGGTGAAGTCCATTTCTGCTCGTTCTGTTCTCTTGCCCTCTAAAGTACTTATCCAAGACTCTAACCATACACAGAGGGTTCTACTCATCTGTGAAACATTTCTTAGCGTGGACTCTTGATCAGTTTTGAATATCTCCGTTAATGTTGTCTGCCCCGTAGGTAATGAAGTTGCCCTATCTTGCCTTAATCTACATATCCCCCCCTGTTCTCGTCCTGCGCTGTCACATTTCTTTTCCTTAAGTGCCCCGCTCAGATGTTGCTTCATATATCCATGCATAAAGCTCCCCATTTTAGTTATTAATCATATCTTCGGCTTCCTTAAGATTCCAGATGATTCCCCAACTTCACTTCTTACGCTAGGGCTTCTCAGGAACTCCCAATCCCCCTTGCGTGTTATACTTCTTCAGGATGATTCCGTCAAATGCTCCACTGTAGGAACTCTTCTGCTCCTCTGGCTTTCTTCTGGGGTTCATGCTCTTCGCTACCCTTGCAGAGGGGCCTGGAGTTCACGGTGGCTTCATTTAACCGCTCCGAGGGAGGATCTAGGCCACCACTCCCCCCCCTCTTCCTTTGGGTTGCTTCCCTCTCCTAATTCTCCGGATTCGTGGGGTGGAAAGCCCCGGAGTTGTTTCTCTCTAATTTCTCTCCAAGTCCGGGGATTTTGAGGTTCCTTTCATGTTGTCCTTAGGCTGTCCTGGGTTGAAGCTTCTTCCGCCACCCTTACGCTTGATCACTTTATTCGCCTCTCATTCCTTTTGTCAGGCCTTGCCTTTCATCTCTTAGAAGCCCTATTCATTGTCCTTCTTGAGATTCCCAGCTTTATTCAGATTATTCCCCTTTATCTTAACCTATCATACTTATTTAAGTGAGACCGAGACCCCAATTTATTTCTCCCCTTAATTTTTCCGCCAAGGTCTATATTACCCATCTAACCGGATATATTTCCTGGGCAAAACTCTGTTTAAGGACCAGGGTCGTTAACTTGTCTGGATCCTTTAGAATCTTCACTCGTCGTAATGCGGTTCCGGTAATGACTCAGACTGGGCTATTAGTCATTCTAAGTCAAGCTCCTCGAATTCGTTTTCTCCCTGCTCTCCCTTCCTTCAAGTCTCCTTCGCAACCTGCAAATTGTTACACGACTAGTGTCTGGCCAGTGGGGCGGGTATACTAATTGAGTATAAGTGAAACTTCAAGTTCTGGCTCTCAGTCAACTTCAGAGGTCACTTGGCCCTTCTTCAGAGGTTCTCCATATTGTCCCTGGCCTGTTGCTTCTGTTCATACCCTGATCAGTGCCTCCATCTGTCTCGCCTTACGTTAACCTTATACTGCAAACGAATCTCTCCAGTCAAGTTGCCTCCTATGAACTGCTTCTTCTGCATCATGGGCCCGATACTCCCCTAGATTCAGTGAGGCCGCCTACTGGCTGTCATTTGCCCTTCCCCTTTCCTCTATTTCTCTGAGCTGCTGTAAGTACAACTTGCAATATTTGCCCTCCGGTTATTCTTCTAAACCACCACAGAGATCTGGCTCGGCCTGTCCCGCCTCTATGCCTCTTGCATTTTCCTTACT